CTTCTTGTAAGGCTTTCCGCAAGATTTGGAGTGTCTGTGGGAATCTGCTTATTTAGCCAAAAGAGAGGTCAGGTACTAATGTTGAATGTGAAAAGCTGGCAAGCCTGCTCTCTGTTTGTACATTGCTAAATACTGTATGACCAACATATTTTAAATCAGATAGCTTAGACTAAGGCTCCATTCACACTTGAGTTGAGCAGTTTTGGGCATTTTTTATAGTGTTTGTACAGGGGTTTTCCAAAACAATGGATATTAGTATGGAGTTGGACAACCCTTTGCACCTATAACAACCTATATCCTTCTTGTAAGGCTTTTCACAAGATTTGTAGTGTCTGTGGGAATCTGTGCTCATTTAGCCAAAAGAGAGGTCAGGTACTAATGTTGAATGAGAAAAGCTGGCACACTAATGGCATTTCAATTCATCCCAAAGGTGTTTAATAGGTTTGGGCCAGGGCTCTGTCAAGTTCCTCCACACCAAACTCCTACAGCCCAACTTTCTGAGTTGAGAAAGAGGAACATCTTCCTTCCAATTGTCAAAAATGATTAGTTAAACTTAGAATTGTTTTTTTTCACCATTACTTTTCCTTTATAGTGGCTTTTCAAAATACTGCAGAATACCCACAAAGGGTATAACAGGGCAGGAAATCCAAGGGAGTTGGGCAACAGGACTCAGGAACATAAGCAGGGAACAGGGCTCAGGACAACAAGCAGGGAACGGGGCTCAGGACAACAGGCAGGTATCAGGGCTCAGGATTTGCAGGAAATGGAAACAGGACTTCAAACAGGTAACAGGACTCACAGGAAACAACAGGATACTGAGCCATCATCCTGACTGCAGGGAGGGTTTAAATACCCTCCCAGGAAGCACCAGGTGATGGCTAAGTGCCGCAAGTTGGGAGACACCTGCAGGTGAGCACTGGAGCTGCAGGTTCCAGCACCACCCAGTGGAAGGAGGAGATGTAGGGTTGGACTGGTGCTGTCAAAGACAGCTACAGCAAGGATCCCAGCAGGCAGCCTAAGGACCCCTGCAAGTGAGGGACCTCAAGCACCTGAACTTGTTTAAAAATGTAAAGGGCTGGCAGGGCTCAAAATTTCCACTCGCCCCCTCGCAATTGGCGAGTGAAAATTGCGTGGGGGCGAGTGGAAATCCAGGGGGGGGACTTCCGCCGCTTCGGCAGCGCCGATCGCTGTCTGTTTCCTCCACCCGCTTCTTGGAGCGGCACCGCAACCTCCGACGGCCGGGCCGCTTCTCCCTCG